CGGGTTAGGGTTAGGATGAGATGAGTCTTTAAGAAGCTTTGAGCTTTCCTGAGACAACGGGAACTGTACAATTCATCAGGGGGGGGGGAGAGGGCAGCCCATAATCCTCTGGGCAATAGTAATGACCCTCTGGAGCGCTTTCCTATCTGCTACTGTGCAGCAAGCAATCCACACACAAATGCAATAGGTTAGAATGCTCTCTATAGTGTGGAGACTAAAATTGATTGCAGTATTCTAGGTGTGGTCTTATTAAGGTTTTATAGAGTGGTATTAGTACCTCACGTGATCTTGATTGAATCCCTTTGTTAATGCAACTTAGAATTGCATTGGCTTTTTTAGCTGCCACTGGACACAGTTGGCTCATATTTAATTGATTGTCCACTAAGACTCCAAGATCCCTCTCACAGTTGCTGCTATTAAGCCTGGTTTCACCCAATCTATATGTGTACTTATGGTTTTTCTTGCCTAAGTATAAGACTTTATTTTTCTCTACGTTGAATTTCATTTTGTTAGATAGGGCCAGTGTTCAAGTCTGTCAAGATCTCTCTGATCTTGAACCTATCATCTAGGTTGTTGGCTGTTCCTGCCAGATTAGTGTCATCTGCAAATTTGGTAAGTCCCCCCCTCTGTTCCCTCATCTAGGTTGATTATGAAGATGTTGAAGAGTACTAGGCCTAGGACAGAACCTTTTGGTACCCCACTGCTTACTTCCATCCATGTAGATGTAGTACCATTAAGAACTACTCTTTGAGTGCTGTTTGTCAGCCAGTTAAAAATCCATCTGAACGTCACTGCAGGTTTTCTGGTTTGCAGAGAAGGACAAAAATATTTTGTATATAAGTAAAATTGTATACATTTCTATCATGCCCTACTTATTTTTTATAAATATTCTATATAAATTCTGACAATAATCCTAAATATTGAAATATTGAAATTGAAATCCATCTCCATATTTAGCTTACTTTTGTAATAGTAACTCTTTCCTCCCAAAAGTAGAACATAATTCTGAGTAAAAATGCTTATTATCTTGTAATTTAATCTTGGTCTCATTTTAAAATCACTGATTTCTCACTGTTTTAAAAATTACATATAGCAATATATAGGCTTGTGTAGTACTGGAGTGTTTGTTCTGATGTGTTATTGAACCTTTGGCTGTGCAAAAGGAAGCCATTGCTGTTCTTCTGGAACCCCAAAAGACAACTGCACTACATTTTATTTTACAGTTAGTCCTCGACTTATGACCACAATTGAGCCCAAGATTTCTGTTGTTAAGTGAGACATTTATTATGTGAGTTTTGCCCCATTTTATGATCTTTCTTGCTACAGTTGTTAAGTGAATCACTGCAGTTGATAAATTAGTAACCTGGTTGTTAAGTGAATCTGGCTTCCCCATTGACTTTGTTTTTCAGAAGGTCGCAAAAGGTGATCACATGACCTTGGGACACGGCAATGATCATAAATATGAACCAATTGCCAAACATCTGAATTTTGATCACATGATTATGGGGATGATGCAAAGGTCATAAGTATGAAAAACGATCATAGGTCACCTTTTTCAGTGTTGTTGTAACCTTGAATGGTCACTCAATGACCTATTGTAAGCTGAGGACTACCTGAATTATTATTTATTTAAATTCTGATCAGATCATCATGCTTTAAATATGAAGAGAAAAATGTTACCTGCTCAGATAATGTAAGGATGTTTGAAGTAGAAAGGAGTCTGAGCATCTCATTTGAAGGCTGCTGTATCAAGCTGAGGATCTGGGATTGGTGATTTCAGACTTTATAAATAAAAATTTCCTTGAATAGATGCATTATTTGTATAACAACTTTGTCAAGACAGTTTACATAGAGCAGCTGCATTTCATCTGCAGCTCCCTGGCTTTCAAAGTTCTGTTGTATTTAAGAACTTTATTCTGCCATTTATTTCCATATCACCATTGTTTTGAAGTCCATTGCAATGCTTCTTATTCACTATAAAAACCAAAGTCTAAAAATAGCAAAAAAAGGAAAGTCTTTGTGGGTAAGTTAAAAAAAAAAAGCATTCAGATTTAGGTTGCTTTTTTCTATAAGTCATTCTGCTACTGTTTTACTGTAAGCCAGACAATGCATACTATGGTAGTACCGTATCTATCATCCATGTAGAGCTGAGTACCAACAATAATAGCTATTTAGTTTTTACTGGAACCAGCATCTGGTGGTTAAGACACCAGGCTAAAAAGCAGGAGGCTATGAATTTAAGTCCTGCCTTAGCCATGAAAGCAAGTTGGGTGACCTTTGTTTAATCACTCTGTCCCAGCCCAACTCACCTCACAGGGTTCTTGTAGTGGGGAAAATAGGAAGAAGAAAGTGTGTTGGATGTGTTCACCCCTTTGAGTTATTTGTAAAAATAACTAAGACAGGATACAAATAAAGTAAATTTGCTAAAAAAATTATTACCGTAGATTTAGATCCCTAAGTAAAGGGTAATTGGTTAGTATAGCTGTTTTTCCAAGTAGCTCTTGGTTCTTCAGAGTGAAGAAGCTACTTGGATAAGCAGGAAAAGAACCAACTGGAAAAGAAATCTAGTTGCCATGACTCAACTTCCAG